CGAAATTACGGGCACTGCTTTAGATTTTATTGTTTATCTAATTATTTGTAAAAAATATCGGTCAACATTTTTAAATCTCTTCAAATGTCGCCATAGACAACATTCAGATGCATCACGGGAATTATCAGGTTCTTCGTCATCCAGAGTTACGTCAACCAGAAGCACTTTCTATTCACTGGAACCGCTTCACGCTTCCGTTCCCGTAACCTAAGAACGATTGAAATTGCTCTGCTAAGTCCACATCCAAAGCGCCAAAAAATTAGATTTGATTAAAAAGCACCCTTCATCAGCTTTCAGAAAATGTATATCTGGGGTCGAGTTTTAAATTCTTCACGGGGTTTTTCTATCTGGTAAATATCAATATTACTTTGTGCCTCCTGGACAGAGGTACAAAGAAAAATAATAATTACGTATTGCAAAAATGATAGTGAACTCGTCATCAATAACAGATTGACTTCTACGGTATGTTACAAAAATTATGGAATGACTCATAGATGTGTCAGTTTTTTTCTGGCTTATGAAGCTGTACTGATTTATCTGATAGAAAATAGTGAAACTCGTTATATTGTTAGCCGCTTTAAGTCCGAAATAAAATTGAAATGAAATTAAAACAAATGAAATATTCATATGTAAATCTGTAATATTTATAGACTTAAAAATAGAATACAAATTTTCCGTAAGGATGATACAAAACTAAGTGAACCAGGAACCAAGCATCACGCCATCACCAACTACTTGGAATTGTCAAAAATCGAAGCGCAGTTAAGCATGCCAAGTTTCATGTCGATCGTATTATGGATTGACTGAGCATTGGGACTATTTGTTTTCCCGCATGTTTACGCTTTTGATTGAATTGATATTTACAAACAGTATGCTAAACGCTGTATTTAATTCGTTGATTAAATATTAATCTTATAAACTTTATTATCAATGCCTTGATTTTCATATTTATAAATGTATTCTAACCTTCATGTCTGTGTTGTTTTTTAACTTTATATTTGAAAACTGTATTCTAAACGCTATGTTTGATTCGCTGATTAAATTAATAGTTATAAAAGTAATTTAAATATCAGGTATGTGTTCCAAATAGCTGTCTTGTTATCCTTTATTATCCCTCTCGTGTGTATGTTGTCGATAAATTAATATTTAAAACTGTATTACCCCCTCCCCCCTCCAGCATTTGTATCATGTTGATTAGATTTATATTCATAAACTGTATTATCACCCACGAGTGTATGTTGTTGATAAATTAATATTTTAATATGAATTCTCTGTGTTCTTTATATTTTGAATAAATTAATATTGTGTTCTTAATCGTCTGTCTATGTTATGATTGGAATTCTTCCGCATCAAACATTTTCTTTTCCCATGGAACCTATCGATTTCATCTATTACTTTCAGAAGCTACTGTCCATGCGAGTTTAACGGTGTTTCATTGCAAGCTTCTACTCCAAGTCTTGTCTTTTGGATGGTAATCTAATGCGTAATGGCAAGCTAAGTGATATTCATTACTGATGTGTTAATAAAACCCTTTAAAAAAATTTCGCAATTATTTCCGAACGGCTCAATATTCCGAGTTTAAACCTTTTTGACAAAGTAAAGAGGCTATCTATTCGCATTTTGACCTTTGATTTGCATAATTAAACCCATTTTCATTTTCAATTTCATCTGAATAACGTTGATGCAATCTTTTATTGATAAATGCATTCTTAAATACTTCCAAATCCTTTAACGAGTGCGATTTAATTTAATTTCAATGATACTTTCTCTTTTCTAGATATTGGTACCTACCGCTACGTCACTACACCCCCCCCCCACACACACACACACACATTCGGACATCATATCATATTGATCATAATCTTTAAGTTGCAGTTAGCGATTGGGAAACCCATTAACAATGCACAATTTTTATGGGAAACATCACAGGTTTATTTCTAAAAACACGAAGTTTCCACAAGTATCCCTGAAGGATAATTGTCGAAACGTCGTGGTTTTAGAATAAAACTAGTGATTGCCCGATAAAGAAACCCTATGTGTTCTGTTAATCATGTTGATCGATTGACAAATGAATAATAAAGTATACATTTACAAAATACTTAATTTATACATTAACAAAATTAGGATTTTGAAATAGGTTCTAATTTAAAGGTGTTTTACTTTGTTAATCCCGATAATCAGTCATTATTATTTGCATTGAACTGAATAAATTCAATACTATTTACCCTTTTTAACCGAATTTAATAACAACATAAAATATGAGACGAATTACACTTATATTAAAATAAACGCCTTATAAACATTCAAATTGCAACCAATTAAAATGGCTGTTACTAAACGGGGTCAATTGATGGGGTGATTGTCTGCCATGAAATGAAAAAGGAAGTTTTTAACAATATTGTGTATAAATCTACATTTATTTCCGTTAAATGCGTCTATTCCACTTCTTGATGACCTCAAATTACAAAACAATTAAATTAACTTCCACATCAGCTCGCCAGTCTTATTCAGTTGAATCTCACGTGATATAGTCTACCACTTCCGATTTCGGAGTTATGACCCCCGAGCGAAGCCGGTCTGTTTGGGGTTGGCGGCTACAGTAGGTCTGCCCCGAGTCTGAAATTTGGGGTATGGGGTAGCTCGGACCGGGGAGTAACATAGGCCAGATGGCGCTAGTCTACCACTTCCGGTTTCGGAGTTATGACCCCCGAGCGAAGCCGGGTATCCTGCTAGTCCTCTAATAAAACCACCCACACCCACGTCTTTAGTTTGTTTAAAATAGTGACAATCCGATTAAAGAATAGTTTCTCGATGAATAATGCAGGAAGTAGCAAAAATAGCACAAATATAGGCCTATACATCCCCACCATGTGTTTAAATCATGCTCACACATAAAGATTACTCAATGTTTATTAGTTTTTGAACTAGAACAAAAAGAATGGGACAAACGTTACGAAAACGACGTAAAATGCAGGGGCTCAGCTACATTAAAACATTTTTGTAAAACAACACTTTTATGAGAAAAGTGTCACGGTCGTGTGCTTTATCCTTTATCATCAGATGGTGGGGTTGGATGGGCATTCATACCGCGATAACGATATATTATGTGATATCACAATTAATCTTTGCATCAATGAAATTGAATCACTATGTGATTCTATTAATTCATAATAAAAATTGACGTCAAACGGGGTGTTGGACATTTCTGTCTATATGCCTGTGTAATTTGGAGACGATGAGAGCATCATGCATTGGCCACTATCAAATTTCTTTAACCGGAATCTGGCTAACCCCCTCCTGCAAAAATTCCTGGATCCGCCCCTGAAATACTTAATGTTAATCTTATGAAAACAAACCTTTATCTGTACACATTTATAAAGAATTCCAACAAATGTTTGGATATCGTATTTATGTCGCCTTTGCGATTAAAGTGTCACAGATTATTAAGAATAAAGGCAAAAAACCCAGGTAGACAGATTATTATTATATCATTGGAAACACCATTTGTAGAATTGAAGGTGACAAAGTCATATAAGGGTCTCGGTAGTTCATTTATTTTTCATTATCAAATAAATCACATTCCAAGAAAACATGGTCAGCAATTTCTAGTGTTTCACCACAAGAAGATTTTGGACAGGTGCAGTGCGAACACCGGCATTTCCAACTGTCCAGGCTTCTTTTAATGGTGAGCCAGTATGTTCCTTGTCACCCTCCCACGACCCACCTATGACTGGGGATATTCTTGACGAGAATCCAGTGCTCGCCTACTATTAGATGTATTATACTGCTGCGTTCACAGAGTGTGTTAAAACTACATTCATAATGAAATGAGGTTTAACGTTCTATTTTCTTACATGAAAACGCGCGTTCTGAACAATGTGTTTCTCTGCCATACTATACTTGGAAGACCAATGACTATTTTCGCCGTCTACAATTGGGTTTTATTTTCTGATGAAAACAGCAATCAAAGACTTCACGCACATGTTAACTCATGATTTAAAATAAGAATTTGGAAAGACGCGGTTTCGCTAAAACTGAACGAAAACATCTCGCAATGTCTCTGGGATACGACGGGGTTCTGTACTAGGTCTGTTGCTGTTTTTTGTTTATATAAACGAATTTCAGGGCGAATTGGAAACTACTGCGAATCTCTTTACCATCGACACAGTAATTGGGTGCAACAAAATAAACATACACCGGACCTCTAAAATGCATTAAATTCCCATCTGAGACAAACTCTCTGATTGGTCAAAAAATTCATAAATTGATTTCACATTAGAACATTACTCTCTACATACAGGTATCGCGATTAATACTCAATGATTATTTTCAATAACTTGTTGACTTTTCTTAGGGCAATGCTCGTATCCATCATCCTTACTTCCGTGTTTTGGGTTATTTTGTTTGTTGTAATAACAACTTTGTGGTTTGGAAATATTTAGTACACGGTCGACTATTACAGAAATTCTGGTGGACAGATCTAGAGTTACATATTTTGTGCGTAATGTTATGTCTTACCGTATGACACTAATGGGATAAACATAAACAAAAAAAACCCATATCTCATGGCAAGATATACCCATTCTTCTTCGTTTGTGTGTTTGTACTTTTCGATTTATTGGGTTTACAAAAAAATCGATATATTACGAATTCTAACTTTACCATATTTAACATAAGGTTTGAGATGCTATGGAATAATTATCATCAACTGTAATGACATACTATAATGCTGTATTGTTCGAAAGCAAAAATATATATTTAAATCATTGTCTAAAAAAACAAAGGGTAGAACGGACATCTTTTTCCGTGAGAATCTATGCATGCAGGGTGTTTCATTTCATTGAACAATTAGTATCGGAAGACGAGAAGGAAATAGGTCATGAATAAAACTCATACTCATACGCAACCACTCATATTACGAATTCGGGTGCTTGAAATTGAACTTTGACCTTTATCGTACACATGTATATATAGAAACTTGTTTGTATATATTCGTGTAATAAAGATGACATCAAGTCCAGTGGTTCCATGGAGATGACTTCATCGGCATTCCTGTAGATGTTTCGTTGATTCTAACATCCATGAAAGATATATAAAGATGTGCCATATCTTAAGAATGGGTTGCATAACACATTTCGTGTTTTATACTTGCTGTATATATCAGGCTGTTGCAGCTAAACAATGTGAATGGACTGTAAAACAGAATAATACCGAGGTAAGATTACGACATTTATTATGAATGATCCACCCTGTCTCAGACAAAGATGCACTATAACTTTACTTGTCTTTCCAAAGATGGAATTGCAATCCATGTTTGAAATCATCAAGCCATACAATTATGTGCATAGATAGAAGTGAACTTGGTGCTTTTAATTTGACAAATATCTTTTGACATTTTATTTTGTTTTCCCAGTCACGACGACCTCAGCAGTGCTAAAATTAACCTGGCAAGTATTAATAAAGATTAAATTCCTATAAACTTTGCGTAATTCCAGGTATTTTTTGTGTTCGTCTTGTCCCCAATCAAAATATTTCTGGGTTTTTTTATTTTATGGCGGAGGAGGTGGGTATAATCGCATCAATAATCAGAGGGCTATAGCACTTCCACGACCACTGCATTGGTGAATATGGAGACGTGCAACCCGCGTCTCTATATTAGATCGGCTTTCATTTTCAACTTTGACCTCCGGGCCCTCGTTCTCAATATAATATAGAATTGAGGAAGGAAATTGCAATTATTTATTTTCTCTTCTGAAAGAAGTTTTCTAAATATAACATTTCAACTAAGGTTTAAATAGATGTACTGATGGCTTCCCTTGGACATTACACTAAAATACACAATCTCTCTGTCACTGAGTCAACTGGCGTAGTTTCGATTCCCCGGTTGTACGTGACAAGGAGTAGGGTCGCCTTCCAACTTCGTGTGTTTTCTCTAGGTCCTTCCTCCCACTGCTAAAGACTCAAACGCGCAAGCGGATTATTGAAATAAAATTGAACAATATGTTAGTCCCGAAATGACCCAATTTGTGTCGAGTGGACGTTAAACCCCATTTCTCTCTCTCTCTCTCACACTACCTCGCCATTAAATTGGGGAAGACGCTGGCTCGCTAGCCTGGATGTCGGGTGTTCGATCCCTGCATTGGCCGAGAAAGTTCGTCCAGATTTTCTGGCGTGGTTCCCCCTTGTCAGTGATGCAGGACGGAGGGTCTAACAAGGACAACTGTCTAGTCGTTCGGATGGGACGAAAAACCGAGGTCCCGTGTACACATTGGCGTGCACGTAAAAGATCCCTTGGCAGTTGGAATTCGATATAAGAGTAGGCCGTAGTGCTGCTGCCCGTCGTCATTAGTCCAGGTTAGGATCAGAAGATTGGGACGTTAAACCCCATTTCATTTCGTTTTCAGTGTACGGCTACCTTCAATTTCTGTAGTTGGTTATCGGGGGAAATAATTGAATTGCAATTGTTATCTTTAAGTTTACACGTACATCACATGGATGGTTGAGGGTTCGAGTAGTCAAACGCGTGCGCTTTAGGTCACAAAGTCTGCCCAATCTCACACATGTACGTGACAAGGATTATGGTTGTATGTCCAACCCTGTTGGGTTTCTCCTGGTCCCCTGGTTTCATTCCAATGATAAAGACCCATACTCACAAGCACAAGCATAGTTGGAATTCGATATAAGAGTAGGCCGTAGTGCCGCTGTCCTGCCAAAATTTCCCTCATAGCACACTGTATGACGTATGCCCATCTTCATTAGCCCAGTTCGGAGCAGAATAGTAGGACGTTAATCTCATATCTTTTCTGTTCAATCCATTTCATTTCGCCATTAAATTGATCTAATGTTCCTTACACCTTTACACGTCATCAAAGCATACGTATTATAGGGAGGAGGGTATTACTAGAAGTGGCGACGAGGGGCTGGAATATATCACAGAGGTATTTAACCCTATATCTGTTATCTCCTATTATCACCAGGTAGCTATTGTGACATATTTAACATCTTTTCTAGGAATCAATGGTTGGATGTTTGCTTTCTGTCTTCGAATAAATGAATTATGTTATCTGTAGAATTCAGCTAAAGTACGGGGCTTTGTAAATTTCTTTAATAATGAATTGTAAATAAAATCTGTTATTCATTTATTTTATAGCAGAAAATCCCGTGTCAACAGTACCGCCAAAGCTGTAAGTAAACACATTGTATTATATTCACGTGTTTTAAATCCGGGAATTTATTTCAAAGAATATTCCGGATTCTAAAAATAGTTATAAAACTTTCAGAAGACATGACTTTAACTATAATATTACAGATTGCTTAAAACAAATGGCGTGTTCGTTCCAAGACCCACGAAGGGAGACATTTTAAATAGATAAAATAAACTCTTTCTTCAAATTAAGTAGAGCAACGTGTACAAAGAATTAAACAGTCGTAAACACTTAATTTTAATTCCACCATTGAAATAGATGTCTCTGGGTCGTCACCGTTTAAAAGCTAATTAGAGATCATGATTTTTCTTAACAGATTGTGAAATAGGAAGTAGACATAGGTTACCAGTTCCAGACAACCACGAAGAATCTGTAGAAAAACCATCCAGTCTGTTTGCCTTAGGTTTCCAAAAGAAAACCCAATATGGGATTTTACCTGGTATAAATGTCAGCTGGACTCCACCTCAATCAGGTAAAACTAGGTCATGTACCTTTCACTGAGCGGTCGTTTCATCGCGGTATTATTTCAATGTTTCTGTATTCTGGCAGACTATGGTCAAATAACCAGACGTTCGCTTTAGCAGTAATATTTATCATTCAGCCGAATTAGCCGTTCATCCCTTTTAGAAGATCCATATTAAATCCGCTAAAATGGATACTTTATTTCCAATAAAGCAATTTTAACCGTTATTACATTACCTAATGAAGTTGAAAATGGTTATTTTTCAGCTACAGGGTTAAAGAATACCAAAGGTTTTTTGTTGAGATTGATGAAACTGACTTTAGATGAAAGCCCTTACTCTTTTTGTCGCCTGTTTAAGATTACAGACAGAAGTTTAGAACCCAGTGATAAAACGGTAAATAAACCTTTTTAAGGGTTCAATATTTTACTAAAGATATAATTCCTCGGCATTCACGACTCGTAAATACATGTCAATCGGTAGAAAATATCAGGGGTGGATCTAGGGATTGGCAAGGGATGGTCGATTTGAGAACCGATATCAAGACGACGTGTCTGTGCTGCAGGCATAATGTGCAGAGGTTTTTGGCCTACCTAAGCCCCCAAATTTTTTATTCGGAAGTTCGTGAAACACATTATAAAAATATAATTGCATGTACAATCTTTTACGTCCCAAACATTTTAGTCAGTCGATATGCTTAGCACTTTCGTTCTAAAACTATCTTCTCGAAATAATTACATCTATTGTGTTATCGAAGACATTGTCAAGATGTATCAATGGATTTCAAACGTTGAAAATAATACGTTCTCGGGCACCTTTAGCGAGAAGGGGTTTTAACTGGTTTATTTGTCGAATAATACGTTCTCGAACACCTTTATCGAGAAGGGTCTATAACTGGTTTATTTATCGAAACTTTGCTCTCAGATGAAAAAGTTAAGCTGGCTTCCCGATCCTCGACGTTTTAACCAAGTTAACTTAAGCCCCTGACCGGTAATGAGAGAATAATAAGCTAATAAGCATAAAATGTCCAGTGTTGATGGGTTTGTGCAAACTTGAAGAAGGTAATTGAAAAATCCCGTTACTAGAAGAAGACGATAGATTTTTGTCCAAACGGGATTGATCGACAATGCAGTGTACTGTATTATACATTTATTTTATGTATGCTACCATTTCATACCCATGTAGTTTAAATTTATTCAAATGTCAGATTAATTGACGTAAATTTAAATACTATTTTGATTTTGATTATTTATTCAAGACTTCCGTACCATACCGTCAAAAAGCTAGACGTTAGGTGGTATCATGTGTTCTACAAATTAGGATTAATATTCATTCATTTTATTACTGCATTTGTAGCCTCATGAAATAGCTGGGTTGCTTATTACCAGGACATTGGAATCGATGAATGCTAACGTTTTTAAACACCTGATACCATTTGTCATTTGTATTATCTGTTGCAGTTGGTATTTAACTATGAAATCTTCCCTGCGCCCCCTCTTTCTGACTACAGTGTGTATCTGTATAGTTTACCTAGATCTGGTGAAAACCTGGACATGGCGATGATTACCTATGTTTCAACTCTGGATTACTTACCAGGTACGTATTTGTAACGGTAAATTGTAGGCTGTGTAGGTGTTAGGACAACTTGCTAGCGAAATATCACAAACTATATCAATGCATGACTAATAATTCGCTTACGCGTTGAGGTCTTTAGCAGTGGGAGGAAGCCACTGGACCCAGTGAAAACCAACGGAGTTAGGCTGACGATCCTACTCCATGTTACCAAGTGTGGGACTCAAAGTATGCCACTTGACTAGAGGACGGCTTTTTTGGTCGTATTAGACCATTGCCCCCCCCCCCCCGTTTAAACCTCCCACATTTCATCTTATTTCATTTAGATCCAGTCAATGAAGACGACTTTAATTCTTCATCCAAGTGGTTCACGAGTATCCAGTACAAAACAGACAAGCCAGAAACAGTGGAAGTTCATTTCTCCTTCACCGATAAGTTTCAGTTTAGTAAATATGATGTGTTTTTGTGTAAAGAAGACAATGTCGCTTGTGACGAACCTTATAAAAAGGCCCTTGTTGAAAAGGTAATATATATATATATATGTATATATATCATTATTATTTTATTGCGAATCAAATTTCTACTCATTCTTGTCTGTCAAGGACTGATCATCCAGTGTGTTACACTTTTTGTTCTTTGAATCAGGTTCTTGATGACAACACTGGTTTAACTTCATATGATAGGCCTACTTTTATTCTTCTTTAAACATATCATGTACAAAACTTAAGATTCCGTTATTAGCGTGTGTTAAGGGAGCCATGGTTCTAGCTTGTGTTGACACCAGTGCTGGATTAACCATAAGGCAAATAAAGCCTGTGCCTTAGGGCCAGCCAAAAATCCAGGCCACAAAATAATAAAGTAAAACTTTTTTGATAATTATCAGGTGCTACTTATAGTAAATACAGTACCGTCAATGTTCTGAATTTGTTTGTAATAAATTTTCTGTTGCTAAATTTAACTTAATTCCTTTTGTCAATGAGCTCAACATATCTGTATTTTTAGGCCGCCTATCAAAATGTGCCTTAGGGCCAGCAGAGCCTTAATCCGGCACTGCTTGACACCCTTGGGTGCCAACTCCCAACTAACTTACATGGCCCCTGTCCGGTCTTAACTCAGACGCTCTCGCCTTGACTGAATAATCTCAGTTTGATTCCTGCTTATAACCCCTTTCTAGACAAAGGATCACCGAAGAGATTATGCAGCTGCCTATATTGCAACATAATTCAGACCAGGGGTAGTAAATAATGACTTCTACGTGGCCGTTGGCCGTGTCAGACCAGTGTCAGTGTCGACCATCTGTGGGTCATAATCTGGTAAGGTGTTAAGTGACATGTTCCTAAATAATGTCAATTGTGTAACAAGTGTCGGCTCCAGTTGATAAACAATCTACTCAGGCAGCAAAAGATTACACATTTAAATGCCTTCTCGTTATATTTTCAGAACGTATACAGCAGTGAACACGGAGAACATATTTTTACAGGTGTAGAACAGGGATCATACGTCATTAAGGTAAACTTTATAAAAATACCCCCCCCCCCCACCAAAACGAGATATGGCGTCTTTGATGCGGTGTCTTAAAAACTGAATGAAACAGAAGTGGTAAATATCGCTATTGAGATACACTAGTCACTAGTGGGATAGACCTTGTATCTAATGCTAGTACTGAATAGCTGAATACTTCTGAAGGATATATAGCTTAAAGAATCTAATGCCGATAAGCTTAATGAATCTAATGTGGATATTTAGTTAGCTTATAAAAGAGTATACTGCTAATACTCCCATAATTGTTCATATAATTGGGATAGCTTAATGCTGATTTTAATTTAGTTGATTTCAAAACTGCAATTTGTTATCATTTGTTATCATTTTCTAGGTTCAACCACTAGATGATTTTTTTAAGGACCGGTCGCGATGTTTTTGTTTCACAATAACAGACCAAGGAAGAGTATGTGATCCCTGCCAGACTTCTGAAACGTTACCATTCATCGTTAAACCTTCTAATCAAGGTAATTTAATGTAATTTTCTCAATAAAGATTACTGGGGACCGCGGTAGTCGAACGGTCATGGTAATTTTTTTAGTCCAGTTTGCAAGGGTTATGTCCGGGGATTACGGGGGATTAACCAGGAACGTACGCATTTGTCCTCAAACTGATCGAAGTATTCTGTTGATCAGACATTCAACCATATTCCCATTCTGTAAAGATTAGAAAACACTGTGCATCCTATCTGTCTTCAAGATATCTTCATATTGGTTTTACCAGAGCAATCAAATATCCTAATGGTGACAAACATAACTTCAAGCGAGCAATGTAGAAAATATGAAAGTTAATTACATAAGATAAAGGCGGGTGTGTATAATTCAGAGATGCGTGCTCTGGGCAGGTATCAGTGAACCCTTTCTTTGCTTAAACCATGTATTTTCGGTAACCAGTTTTATAGATTTTCAATATATAGAACCAAAGTAAGCAAAAGGTCTATTACCAATTTAACATATAATGGAGTGTATCAATTTCCTAATTCCACTTAACCTTCACCCCATCTCAATGCATGAAATATATAATATGTTAACTGTATATATTAAAAGGGAAAACAACAACAAATCAACGTAGAGAAGAGCTAGTAACCAAAGCAAACAAGGGTGTAATTAGAGAGGGGCTAGTCACCAAAGCAAACACGGATATAAGAGAAGAGTCAGTAACCAAAGCAAACACGAATATAATAAGAGAGGGCCTAGTAACCAAAGCAAACAGGGATATAATAAAAGAGGGGCCAGTAACCAAAGCAAACAAGGATATAATAAGAGAGGGGTCAGTAACCAAAGCAAACAAGGATATAATAAGAGAGGGGTCAGTAACCAAACCAAACAAGGATATAATAAGCAAGGGGTCAGTAACCATGGCAACCACAGATAAATCAACCAAATATGCAGTACCGTGGTCAAAAGAAATACCCGGATACGACCATAAAGACAGCGAGCTAATGGCGAAAGAAATACCCGGAAACGACTACAAAAACAGCGAGTTAATGGCGAGAGAAACCAGTGATGACCTGAACCATTATGCCATTGTAATGATTGTTGTCGTTTTAGCAATTGGGATAGTACTGGTTAGTATCACAGTAGCGTTTGTTATCTGGAAAAAACGCGCCACTTCCGGTAAGTGATAGGTTTGATTAATCCACAACAGTTAAGCAGGAAACAAAAATGAACCATAAAGATTCAAATACAAAAGTATTTTTTAAAGCTTATTAAATGTAATATCTGAATTTATTGATGTCAAGTTCAGGCAGTCATATATCATCTCTTATTTAGTCAATGTATCTGTCATTCCTTCATAATTAAACAGCAAGAGCATTAAAATTACTGGTAAGCAAAAACTCTTATTCGTTTCAGATAACAACCACCAAGATGATTTGTTGAAAGACCAAGGTGGTAACTATAATTCCACAGGTAAACGGATAGTTTATTAATACAATCAGTGACCTCAAATTAGACAGAAACATAAATCGGCAAAAATATTTAACCAATAGTATGAATTATTCCTACATTTTGACAACCTATAGTACGCAATTCATAAATAATGAACTCAAATTTTCAGCGTTTTTTAAATTCGTATACTTGTATTAACTGCTTGGCGGCCAGGATTTTATATATTTCTTTCTGTTTTTAAATATATTTAGGGGCTACCAGAGATGAGCTGACGAAAAAGTCTATCTTAATATTAAACGCTGAAGATCATCTACATCATGTAGAATGTGTAAAACAATTCGTTTTCTTTCTTCAAGATGTCTGCCATTGCTTGCCCATTTATCCGCCATTTTGTCTGCCGGCAATCAGTCAATTACATTTCAAGGACTGGATGTTGAAGACTTTAGACCAGGTTGACTATATCTTGATTGTTAACTCAGAAGCCGCATTTAAAATCATGAAAGCTGATTGTAGACATGAAACTTATAAATATCACGCCATCACCTCAACTGGTCATCTATTCAAAGATTTTATGAAACAGGTCTTAAAAGAATCCAAACAAACGGGAACCTGGGAAAGATACATCTACGTATCTTTTGAGTATACGTCATCGTCAAATTACCTACCAGGTATACCAAACCTACATTGCTATAAAATACCTCAAGAAACATCAACTTTAGTAGAATATATCCATCGTCAAGCGACAAATACTGATCCAGGGTTAAACCCCCTCTTAACGAAACCTCTGGATCATTTCGAAGCAGGACGAAATTTGAAAGATGCCATAAATAAAGCAGCTAAGTATCAGAGAAGTCACGCGATTTGGTTCTCGGAACGATTTGGGCAGCCTTATGGTAGAAACTTTTTTCGGTACGATTCCGGATTCAGTTCGGTGACGGAGCAGGACTCGGAGCAAGATATCACACATATAACACATACCCGAAGAACAAGTTCCAGTGATGGTCGAGATGAGCTTGGTTTTTATCCCCCGGAAGATTATTGTGGACCGCTGGAATCAGTGAATAATGTTGATGGACAATTGAGTAGTTTTAATGGTGGGTCATCATCTGGACAATCGGGTCATGGATGTGAATCATGGACTGGTCATTCAAGTAAATCAATCACCAGGTTTTCTGGAAATTCGGCCAATGATTCTGATAAATGCCATGTTACATTCATTTCCGAGAAGAAGCTTGAAAAATTTGACGAATCCGAAGAAATTGGACTTTTCCAGCCAGACGAAGATGCAGACACAAGTCATTGTAGCGAATCAGAAATAAAATCCATGCTGTTCATTTCGCCGTCTGTAGCTGCCAACATGGATGATGTGAGTTTGTCGATCAGCGCCCAACTTCGCCAAATCAACGAAAATTACGAAAAGGATGTACATGAATTACGTTAGAAAGTTGTTCAGTGCAGGAGAAATAACAGTATGTTCTAATATAAATATTTTATAAAGTTCCCCAATTCATATCTTCTAAAGCAATAATTTTATGCCACAATCTCTACTCTCAGTTCTAGACCTTGGCCATAGTGGAATGAAAATCGTATTCCGAAACAGCCAGAAGAAGACGGGTCGAACTACTGAACATGATTAATCCTACAAGCATGTTTTTTTTATCGTCAGTCATTCCATGACATAAGTTTATCTATAACCCTCCGCAATATGTTCGATTTGTTTTTAGTGAAAACCACAGTTACTATTTAATGAACGTACTCACGAATAACGACCTGTAGCCGAATAAAATGTTTGCGGGTCAAGAGAGAGAGAGAGAGAAAAATGGGGTTTAACGTCCACTCGACACAAACTAGGTCCTTTCGGGACTAACACATGGTTCAATTTTATTTCAATCATTCGCTTGCGCGTAGGGACCCGGAGGACCCGGAGAAAACCCACGAGGTTGGACAGGCGACCCTACTCCTTGTCACCTACAACCGGGAAATCGAAACCCCGCCAGTTGACTCAATGACAGACCGTACGATACAGCGCGCGCGTGCTAACCATTCGGCCATCCAACCCCCCTTGCGGGTCAAATTCACACCGGATTGTGTATAATAGCCGTACCTACTGCTCAGGGTTGTAATTGATCTGGATCTCGTGTCTGTTAATATGACAATCTAATTAAAACTGAAATTAAGTAAAGTTTAACGTCCTACTATTCTGTTCCGACTGGGTTAATGAAGACGGGCATACGCCATGCATTGTGCTATTTTTAGGGGAATTTTGCCCGGACAGCGGCACTATGGCCTACTCTTGTATCGAATTCCAACTGCCAAAGGATCTTTTACGTGCACGCCATTGTATACACGGGAACTCGGGTTTTTGTCCCATCCGAACGACTAGACAGCTGTTTTTGTGATTATATTAATCACCGACCCTTTCTTACACTCACAAATATAATTCTTTGGGTATAGATCTTCTCGTAATAAAAGTTATACGGTTGTATAGGAATATTACACATTTTAATTTTCTTTCTTTCTTAAGGGATGAACCACGGTGGCTCAGTGAATAAGGCGCTGGCTCACCAACTATTTGGCCCTGGGTTCGATTCGATGTTGGCCGAGAAAGCACTTTTTATGCGTGGTTCACCCTTGTCAGTGGTGAAGGACGGGAGGGGGGAGGGGCTGTCAAGGAACATCGTCTAGTCGTTCGGATGGGACGATTTATTAGATATATTTAAACATTGACATATTTGTTGAAATTATCAGGAAGGCTGTTATTATGGATGTTGCTCTTTTAATCGTTGTATGTTTTAATATTACACATTTAATTTTTTTAAAGTACGTTTTAAAAGCTTAATATATGCATTATATTGCCATTATGTTTTATTTCAAATTCATTTAAAAAAAACAACAAACAAACAACACTTACATTGCTTTTATTTTATCGTGTTTGTTTATTAATGTCTCTCTAATGGTATGTCCATCGGTTTGTTCTTGTAATCGTTTGATGTTTTAATATTACATATTTCTTAAAGTACGTTTTAAAAGCTTACTATGTATTACATTGCCATTATGTTTTATTTCAAATTCGATTTTTTAAAAAAAAACAAAAAAAAAACATTGCTTTTATTTTATGGTGTTTGTTTATTAATGTCTCTCTGATAATATGTCCGTCGGCTACATTTTAAGAAGTCACGATTTAGGTCACAGATTGGATTACATTCCAAATGGGGTTTAACGTTCTACTGTGCTGATTCCTAACTGGGATAATGAAGATGGGCATACGCCATACAATGTTCTATGAGGGAAATTTTGCCCGGACAGCAGCACTACGGCATACTCATATATCGAATTCCAACTGTCAAGGGATCTTTTACGTGCATACCAATGTATAAACGGCACCTCATTTCTTAATGTTTCGAAGTATTGTTTTTACTCCAAAAGTTCAAATTAACAAACCTATCATGACACACTTTACTAGAACATCTAATAACACTTCTCAATTGTCACGTCCACAAACTTTTGTTATCTAATGAAAAAATACAACAGAATGAGATGGATACCCTAGCTTATATGGTAATATATTATTTCTATGCGTGCGTTAACCCATGCAAGTCGTGGGTTCCATCCCCGGGGTTGTATTCTGGGAGACGTGTCTAACCTCGTGAATTTTCTGTGTACCCCACCCCCTTTGGATTGGATCTGCAAAGCATGAGTTCGATTTCTTCCATGTTATCCACATAACAAGGAGAAGTATCGCCCGCCTAACCTCGGGGATATTTTCCGGGAATTCCGGTATTGACCCACTTCTAATAAAACCCGCGCTCAATAGGTAATTGAACTAAACCCGTATTATTAGTTCGTTAATGTCCAGTGGACTTCAAATTACTGTTAACCAAATAAAAAATAAATTAGAAACAAACATTCATTAGGTTTTCTGCTGCCTTGGGGCTTTTCCTATGAATCGGATTGCATCTCATTTAATGTCATTGGTATACATTACATTGCGTCATTAACGCCTTTCTCAAAACTACCCAATCACAATTCATGTGTATCTTCCTCGATTAAAATTTAAACAACAACCGTTCAAGGAATCCATTATATTTATTTTTATATTTTATAGAATAACACACCTAAAGGGGAAGTTCAAGATTTTACTTTTTGTTAAATAGCCATGTTTGACGTCACGTAATCAACGTAGTTGTTTACATGTTCTAGTGTTTTCTATAACGACGTTGGCATGATTAAATTAAATTATTGATTGCTAAGATTAAATTGTGGTAGGGACTTACTGGGTCTCAGACCATAGGACATGGTCCGAGGGCCACAGGGGTCAGCGGTCTATTGGTCTCGATTGTGAAAACAATTGACATATTTTATTCAAAATAAATAAAAGTCGTCTGTGCATCCACTGAAAAATATACTGGCCTAATCGTAGGAGAATGTGAATCAAGCTAGTTTCGTTTTCTTGTCACGTTTTCTTCATCGCGATCGGGGTCCAAGGAAAACAGTTGATCCGAGGGACCAGGGCTACACAACCCGCCACTACATTGTTGTAACCTCAGATAAAAACTATTAGGTTTATTGTAAAACAACAACTAATGGTAATGAAGAATAAGAACATAAAATGCTTCAGCAAATATATCTAAGATTTAATATCAATATAATCACGCAGTTCCAATGGTATGTCCAACAGCTGTAATCCGTCCGGAAGTTGATCAATGGAAATAAATATGTTCCGAATAAAACAACGACACAGATGTTTTAAAGGGGCAACGCCTGCAATTGTCCAAGACGGAACGAATTGAAGAACTTCCAGTTTGACGTAATATGTTTCGAATCTCGTATTATTTCCGATTGTCTCCATCTCAGTTTTGAAACGAACGTATGGCATCGTTCTTAGTGTGTATTTTAAACTGTCGGCGACCATCAACACGGGTATGGTATATTTTTTAGGGCCATCTTTCTGCATTCCAGGAAATAAGTGAATTGTTCCAAGCGTGCGCAATAAGTAACGTAATGGAGGACCTTGCGCCGATGCACCATAGCGCAGCAATAGATGAACAACATTTGGTTTCATGTTCATTATAGCCAATAAAATTGACGATACTTGCAAACTTGCTGTTAATGGTTGGTGAATCATCATTGGTTGCAGATGAGCATGAGCAATGGGAAGATCAATGTATAAGCACCTCTCTCGGTCCAACAGTTCTGCCCATACGGCTCTTCCAGTCCCATCAAATATGGTTTTCATTAGCTTTGGGTCTCGAAGATCTATTTTTAAACCTGCAGCATATTTGAGATAATAAAGTGATTTGTCTGGAACGTTTGAAAGAGATCTCCTACTTTGTCTTTGTCCGGGTGCTAGGTTAATCACAGATGAGACATCGGGTTGTCGAGAAGATTCTAATAAATCACGTAAAAATATTCCATAATCCACGCCATGACTTAAGGGAAGTAATACTCCCAGAACGTGCCTGATCAGTTGTTTGTCTTCCACTTGATATTGAAAACAAATTCCCAATGACATATGCAATGTCAGCCATGAGAAATATCGGCTCTCGGCATCCCTGGCGTTAACCAAAGCAAACTTGACGGAATCAGTAACGACTTGTTGAACAGTTAAAACACCACTATCTATTTGTGCGCAGAGATCTCTACCAATATGTTCACACTGTTCCTCTGTACTTCCAAATGGTATGCGAGTCTGTTTTCTAACGTTCTCGAACACGTTCTTCCTTAGTTTCAAATATGAAGAAATTCGGTGCATGGTGAGATAATTTTGAAATATCAACGTTAATTGACGTCAGAGATTTTATGACGTAGGCGAGGTTTCTAAATTTGAATCTGAGAAAATCTGAATTTTGGATATAGGGGCATAAATTTTGCATATTTCAAACAACTAGTAGGCTAGGCCCCTGCGCTCTTCGTTTATTCGAGATAGTGATATAGCTAACAATTTGCTTTAAGCATTCCATATTTAAACAATTTGCATAGCGACTCTTCTATGGGTAAGTTCTGTATTCTAGCAAGGCGCCACGGTGGTTCAGTTTGTCAGACGTTGGCTCGCGTGTTCGATCCCTGCATTTGCCGAGAAAGTTCATCGGGATTGTCCAGCCCGGTTTCCTCATGTCAGTGGTGCAGGACGGTGGGCCTGGCAAGGGACAACGTAAAGTCGTTCGGATAGGACTAAAACCCGAGGGGCCTTGTAGGCTACAAATTGGCATGCACGTAAAAGAGTCCTTGACAGTTGGACTTCGATATATGAGTAGGCAGTAGTGCTCCTGTCAAGGCAAAATTTCCCTCATAGCACACTGCAGTTGGAGGAAACCAGAGGACCCGGAGAAAACCCACGAGGTTGGACAGGCGACCCTACCGCTTGTGACGTACAGCCGGGGAATCGAAACCACGCCAGTTGACTCAATGACAGACCGTATGATACAGCATGCACGTGCTAACCATTCGGCAATCAAACCGCCCTCTTTACAAAGATAGAATGGACATCGATTATTCCTTCGAACCGATACATCATGGTTATTCTGTTTGTAACCCTTTCCGTTAAATGCTGCAACTTCCAACCTCAACACCAGGCTTACTATTCTCCTAACAAAGTTTAAAATACAAAGACTCTACCCAATGTAATTTCATGATTATAAGCAGCCAAAGTTATTACTAAATTCGTCCAATTCTCAAACACTGTGTAATACTACCACCACGGACGACAACAGAACCCAATCCCTGTGAAGGATATCGTCGTGCGTAACTAACGTTCGAAAATTGAATGGTAGCTAACTACTTCTCAGCAGGTAGGCGGATCTGTTGCTCAGATCGGGATATCGTTAGATAACATTTGAAACACTGCAAAATAAGTAATAACGTTTTCTAGAACATTTTATTAAACAACAGATAAAATCAACAATAAACTTTTTTTTATACACAATAGGGCACTATATATTAACCATATCATTTTACAACATGATCTTTTAATATCATACAATTTTTATTTAAAATTATTTTATACTTCTACTAAATTATAAGCAATCGAGTTAATCCATTTTACACGGAGGCAATTATCGAGTTAATCCATTTTATACAGAGGCAATAATGGATGTTTTTGTTTTATGTTATACTAAATGAAATAGCGACACTGCATGAACAGTATATTAATGTTGTTACCCATATTCAACCATTAAAACGTTAAAGTATTAAAACAGGAAAGTATTTTGCCATATATGAACCTTTAATGCACAATTAAAATAGCCGCCATTTTTTGAAGAGACTAAAGCATTGAAATATAGTCTACTTAAATTTATCGCGTGTTCTGGAATAAATTAAAACTAATATCACATTTATTAAAATAACCCCTGTTGTAGGTTAGTTCAATTTATCGAATGCTTTGGAATAAATTAAAATCAATATTTTTTTCACTCAAAATTTTTCAGTCTTATTTATTAGAACTACCCTTGTTTTAGATTAGTGAAATTTATCAAGTTCGGAATAAATTAAAACCAATATATTTTCTTTCAAAATTTTCTAGTCCAATCGTGACATTTTATTTTTATTAAAATAACCCTTTTTTAGGTTAAATAAAATTATGAAATGGATTGGAAAAAATTAAAACCAATATTTTTTTCTTTCATAATTTTTTAGTCTGAGTATGAAATTTTAGGCTTTATTAAAATAACCCCTGTTTTAGGTCAGTTAAATTTTTCAAATGGTCTGTAAAAAAATTAATACCCATATGTTTTTCTCTCAGAATTTTCTTGTCTTCTCACGACCTCTTATATTTGTTAAATTTATCAATTAGTTTAAAATCAATTAAAACCAATATTTTTTTTCTCATATGATTATATTTTTATTAAAATAACCCCTGTTTAAGGTTGGTTAAATTTGTCAAATAGTTTGGATTAAATCAAAAACAATGTTTTTTCTCTAAGAATTTTCTAGTCCTATCAAGACATTTCATTCTTATTAAAATAACCTCTGTTTTAGGTTAGCTAAAATTCAACATACAAAAGTAAAAACAATACTATACAAAAACGCAAACAAAATACACAGACATTAAATAACGTCAACAAGATGTCACATATCAATCTACATTGTTTTCTTCGGGTAAAATATCAGAACCGTAATCAAAATGATAAACTTGACTATGCTTCAGAGGCGACTCTTTACCCACTTAAGACCTAACTTACAGAGTTCCACATTTCGGGGGCTCGAATACTTTCTCACCGACTATTCTGTATGGGTTATTAATACAAAAATCTCTTCAAACAAATAATTGTAAATAAAAAAATAATAGATAGTTATATTTTGAACGAACATTGCTAAATGAAAATTTATTTGCAACCTGTTAAACAAATAATGGGCACAACCAACCCAGGCCAGTAAAACTCCCTATATTTAAAAAAAAATACTAATTTTTAGCCACTCTTCAGTAATGTAAAGAACACCGATTTCATTTCGAAATTTGACACCAAAATAATCTTGTATAAATAGCACTAAACAACACTAAAGAACATTATTTTACAATTCTTCCTAAATACAATACCAAATTCATTTCAAAATTTCAAAATTTATAACATTCATTTATAACAGATAGTTGTTTATACTCAGAGGGGTTGAGGTGTTCTTTCTATCAATTTAAAACACAAAATGCATCAAAAATTCATTTGGAAATTCGACTGGTATTCCATATAAATAGCACTATAAAGAACATTAAAATTAAAGCTTTAGATAAACATATTATTTGGCAAGAGAACAAGCCTTGTTGGTGACAAATTTATTATTCACCTAGGGTATCTACGTATTCTTTAGCCATTTCATAACAGAATCTGTATTCCGGCTGAAAGAAGAAAAGGATAATTTGCAAATTTAGTGGTGATTATTTCTATCCCAAGTTCCTTGTTAAGCTGGAGATTAAAGGAACCGGTATACCCGTCATGACAACGAAGCCTTCTACTTGAATCTATTAATTTTAGTTGATACAACCAAGTACGTCATAATTAAAGTGATTTTAATTTTCTAATAACTGATTGCCCTTTCTCCTACAGCTATATTCCATGGTCTCCACCTTATAGAAGTTACATTTTTGGGTAGAAGCACTATGTCGGGATGTGTGCAATTCATCGCTACATTTATATCGTATGTAGAAGAGAGAGAGAGACAGAGACAGAGAGAGAAATTGGTTTAACGTCCACTCGACACAGACTAGGTCATTTAGGGACTAACATGTGGTTTTAATTTTATTTCAATAATGCGCTTGCGCGTTGGGGTCTTTAGCAGTGGGGGGAAACCGGAGGACCCGGAGAAAATCCACGAGGTTGGACAGGCGACCCTACTCACGTACAACCGGGGATTCGAAACCCCGCCAGTTGACTCTGCTAACCATTCGGCCATCCATCCCCCCTCCCCCGTATGTAGAAGATGTCGAATGTTGACAAATTGTTTTCAATTCATCATATGTTTTTAAATACTGAAGAGAAGTGGACCATTTTTGGGCAGATATGCTCTTTAATGATTTCACTTTCACAATAGTGTAGTTAATGACGACCAAATACTTTAAAACAGTGGTTCTCAACACTTTTTGTGACAACGGCACACCTTGGAACGCATAAAAACTTAGCGGCACACCTGGCTAATGAAAAACATTTGAATTTTGCAAAATAAAATCATGGTAAGTCAGACGGCATACAACCATAGACACAACCTAATCATAGACACATAGAGTGACTCAAACTAAATAAAGAAAAACACTGCTATGAACTTATCAGTAGACGCAAGTGAACACTCAATTGGGATCATGTGGATTTTTGCATTTTTTTAGTGTGCCGTTCAAAATTCAGCGGCACACTTAGAAAGATCTCGCAGCACACTGGTTGAGAATCATTGCTTTAAAATAAAGTATCTCTTGTACAATGTAAGCAGAGGAGAGTGGGGCGGGGGTCTCAGACATCCATTCTGCCTATGACTCGTTTTCCCGCGTCTGATTCGAAAGAGAAAGAGGGATGGGGTTTAAAGCCCACTCGACACAAACTAGGTAATTTTGGGACTAATACATTGTAATATTATTACAATAACAGTTACTGGCTTGTGTCATTTAGCAGTGGGAGGAAACCACTCGAATCTGTGACAGATCGTATGATCCACCCCCCATCTCCACCAATTTCAAAGATTACGACCACTTGCTTGATAAACCCTTAAAGAAGGTTACTATACTCACTAATGTAGATATACATTGAGGCTGTACGACGTGCATGTCTCTTACAGTTAACATAACATCCAGAACTTTATCTTCTTTTAGTCTATTTATACAATTAACTATAGTACAGAACAGGTTACTCTTCGTCGATCCATCACTGGAAAAAAACAATCAGAGAAGGCGATTGGGACAATTATATTTTATAAAACAAATGGAGGGGTAACACATGGGGTTTAACGTCGCGTCAATACAATAAACCGATTTTAGATCGTTTTGAGACTAACAGAGTAATTTTTATCTCTATTGTTTCACGTGCAGTTGATATCCCTTAAAGGGACAATAACACTCTTGCTGGCTTCTAAGCTCCAGAAAATAAATAATATCTCTATCTAAGTACTAGATGTTTAAGTGTCCTACCTTTTGTGTAAATTATCCATTACATCCTATTTTACTTGTCCAGAGGGTTCGAAAATATTTTTAAATTGAAGTTTCGTTTGAAAAGGTTTACGTTAGACGTTTCAAACCATTATGTTGAATTTTTCAAATTTTTTAAATAAGGTGTGTTAAGATGAAATTTGTATTATCAATTAACTGAAATATTGTAAAATAGTACAATTTGTTGACCAGAATAAAGATTGGGACATATTATTCAGTTACAACAAGAGTGGTATTGAGCCTTTAAAGGCTTTGACTATCAAGGCATTTGATAAATCATATTATTTGAAACCCGCCACAGGCCCGGTCCAGACTTATCTTAAACGATACTTGAGAGGTAAAAGGCCTAGCAAAAAAAAAACACCAATACTTCACTTGTAATTTATCAAAAATAAAATAAAACATAATACTATAAACTAACGGAAAGGCCAACTGTATATATGTATAAATATTTAGTTTTTGTTTTATTCTCAAATAATATTTATATTTTGCACGTATATATGTTCTGGTTGTATAAATGTTCTATTATGTACATAAATTAAATTTACTTTTGTAAATTCTGGTGAGGAGTCAAAATAGGCATAGTCTGTTAAAAAAAAAACACGACAACAATCCAAAAAGTTGCCTTGCGCATCATACAAAAAAATAAAATTTGATTCCGTGGAACACATACATAATTCAACTGACAATTTTCTAATTAGCAAAATGGGCTAGAATAGGTTTTTGTGTGTACAAAGTTTTATAAAGATATCTTGCGTGGTTCCTGGGATATGTTCCGCAAACAAAACGTGGGTGGAAGTAACGAATCCATTTCAGTATCCCTCTCCTAAACTTATTGGGCATGGGGTAATGAGAGAAACACTTACATATCTTGAACCACAATTGAATGGTGGCCAACATCTTCTTCTCGTTTTTGTATAGCTCGTATCAGTGCTAATAAACCTTTTTTATCTGGTATAGCAACATCAACAGGCCATTCGTGTACTTTATACATGTTAATAGTAGATTTAATACTGGGATCCGGCTGCAAAATAGTCAAAGAACATTAATTTAGAAGATCTTATTACTTTAAAGAAATTAATCGATATTTTCCCGTCTGTGGAGGTCACCTGATGATTAGGTAGCACGCCTGTAGAATCTGCTACACTCATACAGGAACGCGAGTGTTACTTATTGACTTTAGAATTACACCTTGAATCTGTCGTACCCAAAACTTCCAGTTGGTATACCAGCAACCTTCTGCCGTTTGGATTTGGCGCTGCCCACTCCCGCTACTAACACCCATTGAAGAGCACTTACAAATTCTTGCTGCGACCGTTTATCGCAACTACCCAATAAGACATAGAACGCATACTGAAATTGCTAAGACACTTTAACTTAACAAAAACCACCACCCCAGATGATATCTACTACAGCAGCAGAGACCAGATTCAAGAACTGATATCAGCTACTCCATCTCGAAAGCATTTACTTGCTCCATAACGTTGAGATCATAAAGTAATTGTTCTTCCAGAATTTATTATTGTTTATTAACATATCCTTACTTTCCCCCATGGAGTCAATCACTAACACGAAGACTAGTTAGACCATTGGGGGGAAACCGAAGAACCCAGGGAACGCCAGTGCACCCATCCCTACTTGGGAGACGGTAGCCTGGGGCAATCTTACATTATATTAATAAGAAACTTACAGCATCTGTTTTTTCCAGCGATAAAACGCTTTCAGTATAAAAGCTATCAGGTTCATTCGTCTCTGTCATGGTAATCAGAAACGGTCCGGATTTAAAGTTACCTCCAGTAGTCGGCCAGAAGGATGGATCAATCTATAAAATAAACAGCAATATTAAGACGGCAGACTACATTTAGTATACTACCAACAGGATCTGATTAACCTGTACTATAAGACCATGGGACACCCTCTATCGACAACCATCAATGAACAGGGGGTTCATCTGTAATAAAAGACCTTAGGCCACCTCTAGTAGACAACCAACAATGAGTAGAGGGTTCATCTGTACTACAAGACCTAAAGCCACCTCTAGTAGACAACCAACAATGAGTAGATGGTCCATATGTAATACAAGACCTAAGGTCACCTCTAGGAGACAACCAACAATGAGTAGAGGGTTCATCTGTACTACAAGACCTAAAGCCACCTCTAGTAGACAACCAACAATGAGTAGAGGGTTCATCTGTACTACAAGACCTAAAGCTACCTCTAATAGACAACCAACAAGGTGTAAAGGGGTTCATCTGCTAAAAAAAACAAGTTGACCGTATACTAACGCAGGAACCATTTTGAACGATTCATCACTCTAATAGTAAGACAACTAGGTGAACACGCTTGTATTAACTAGATGCTAAGCGATGTGCGATGATATATTAATGGCCAAATCGTGGTTGTTGTTTTGAATAATTAAACTTAGTAAGTTAGTATTGGCTTATTATGCAATGTGTCCTGGTCATTAGACATACACTTTCAGATAATACATTTTGTTGGTACCCTCATCCACCCTTACTCTACACACCAATAAAACAAACCTTTTGGTCTGATTCCTGATCCACCAATGATATTATAGTTAATGAATTGTATTCATAAACCATTCGCCAGAAATCTATAATAGTTGATTCCATTGGTAACTGAGTGGTTATAAAACCATCTCGAGAGAATACCGACTGAAAAATAAACCAACATGGAACTAGAATTAAAATTGAAATTTAACGTTTCGTCAACAGTTACCACATCGGAGATCTTTGTCGGTAGGTAATGAATGATTTTGAATTTGCCGTGATTGAATTATAAACTTTCATGGCCATACAGTTATATCTTAAACTAAATTTGAGACAAATCTGTCAAGGGTTCTTTTACGACAACGAAAACGCATACACGGGCCTTCAGTCTTGCACCACAGAGATTTGGAAAGCAAGCTGAAAAACCCAGAGAAACTTTATATGCCTACACTGCGATTAAACCCAGAGCATTTCTATCTAAAAAAAAGAGAGAGAGAGAGAGATTAGGTCACTTCGGGACTAACATATGGAACCCGGAGAAAACCCATGAGGTTGAACAGGCGACCCTAGTCCTTGTCACGTACAATCGTGAGAGCGAAATCACGCCACTTGGCTCAATGAAAAACCTAATGATGTAACTATTCGCCCCCCACCCAACACCTTTCTATAAAAACAACCCGGTTCCATGCGTTGTTATGTAACACAACTGACCTTCCATTTTCAGTAAGACATTGTTACCTACTTTGACATATAATTTCAAGAGCTGGGTCCATGATGACTGAATTGTAGCATGCATGATGATATTCAGTAGTATGACTACTTCGTTCATACAGTTTAATATTTAATCATGATACATGCAGCTTTATTGATGTTCGTTTTGTAGCCAGGCGTAATTTTAGTGCTGCTGTGATAAATTGTACTCTGGTGTCACAATATTGTCATAACGAAATATTGAAATCTTAAATATTTGTACAATATATTCAAGGTGTATTATTAAGACGAAATCTCATTCTTCATCAAATAATAGTGTAAAAGTTATTGGTAACTAAGATGTACAAAACAAAATGTTTCATACAAATAACCGGCCTCGACATTTCTTAAACATATTAAATCATTTTAAAACTATACTCACTGGTACGAGTGATGCTTGAATATAATCATTTCTTCCTTCAACAAATGTCACCAGATAGGCTCGATAATTATCATCTACAAAATATAGACATAGCAATTTCAACAGTGAATTGCAGAAACCGGTGTCAACTTTATAAAAGTATAAAACTGTGAAAGAGATTATTAACACTTCGTTGTCCTAACCCAAAACTGCTTACTACATTGACTCCGAGAAGACGATTAACGCTTTAAATCGAGGAACTAGTAATTGTTCACTGGGACGAGTAAATACACATTTAACCCTAACCCTATTCAGAAGAAAGGGGGGTTGGATGGCTGAATGGTTATCATAAAGTCTGTCATTGAGTCGACTGGCGTGGTTTTAAATCCCCGGTTGTACGTGACAAGGAGTAGGGTCGCCTGTCCAACCTCGTGGGTTTTTGTCCGGGTCCTCCGGTTTCCTCCCACTGCTAAAGACCCCTATGCACAAGCGAATTATTGAAATAAAATTAAACAATATGTTAGTCTCGAAATGACCTAGTTTGTGTCGAGTGGACGTTAAACCCCATTTCTCTCTCTCTATTCAGAAACACAAATAATCCGACAACCAATAACCCCGAAACAGCGCCATTTCAAGACTTTTTCTATTGCAAATACACAGCAGTATTGTTGGTGTATACATTAACAAATGACATCTTCAGTTCTGTATATATATATACTCTTCAAAAAAAGTAGGGGATATTCAGAAACAATACAAAACTGCGGAAATGCACTGCTGTTTTTATTAGAGGTAACTAGTGTATGTTAATAACAGGCCAATTGCCTACACATGAACATAAACAGTTGATATGGGCGGCTTATCTGACGGCCCCATTTCACTCGCAAAGAGATACACCGTCAAAAGTGAAAATGGACGTTTTTTATTTTGGTCTTAATAATGAGTAATTGCTCCACCAATCCTCAGACATTCAGCAATTCGTCGTGGCATGCCACTAACCAACCGTCCAATCCCGATTTGGGGCAATCTGACCCACTCCTCTTGCAGTGTCACGCCAATTCTTGCAGTGTTGTCGATTGACGTTGACGTCGACGAACACGTCTCCCGATCAAATTAAACGTAACACACTTAACCAAAGATACGCTAAACAGTAAATCTTATGCAAGAACCGATAGGAAAGCAAACATGGATAGATAAACCAGCAGGCGGCAGTTTTCATCAACCCTTCCCTGAAGTGTCAAATTTGACAATGAGCCCTCCCACGTGTATGGCGCTATTTCGTGTCGCATGTGCAGCTCAGTGGTTCTGTTGAGGCGATAAGTTCTTCATCTGTGAACATGCTCTTAAAGCATGTCAAGTGTCCATGACTATTTATCATATCACAACCTGCATAGGTATTTGCATTTCAATATCCCCTACTTTTTTTGAAGAGTATATGTCATGAAAAAAAATTCAAATTGCATTTGCTTACGTGGTACAATGTGACCCGTTCGATTTTTCGGGAGGTTTTCCGCTTCTCGGGCACTTCGAGTGTTAATCTTGTGATGTCCCTTCTTTAACAACATTACATTCTATCAAAACAAAACGCAATATATGTTTACTGTTATGTTTATTTTCTTTCAACTGCTTGACTGAAAGCTCTTTTTAAAAAATGAGTTAATGACCATACACCATCATAATTACTTTTTTTGAAAAAAAAAAACCAAACGGATGCCAACGAAACACACGTCCACAGCAATTTGGTCGTTGGAGCAGTCCACAAATATTGTTTCATATTTATTCCTTCACGTTAGTCCCAAAATGACTTGGTTTGTGCCGAGTTAAACTCCATTTCTCTTTCTCCTATTCCTTCATGAGTGATGGGTGCATTTATCAGACACTAAATGCTGATCAACAGTAGCAACACGTGAATTTATTACCAGAAATATTATCAATTTGATTCTAGTTCTTCCTTTTGGTAACAGTTATTATACAAAACATGTGCCAGTAAACAACGCACAAGCGCATTATTGAAATAAAATTAAAACCACATGTTAGTCCCGAAATGACCTAGTTTGTGTCGAGTGGACGTTAAACTCTCTCTCTCTCTCTCTCTCTCTCTCTCTCTCTCTCATCATATGATATCTTCAACTGTTCGCGTTATCAGAAATCTTCTCGGACCATAAGCACTCTAAGGCGTCAAAAAGATTCTTTTCTGTGATCAAACTCCGTAACTCCATCAGCAATTGTCGAAGGCTTAGCCTCAAGAGCTTCCGGCCACACATGTGAATGACAGACGGACGGTCAGGGTGACGACATTTCAACGGAGACGTATACCAACCATTTTGGTCTAAAGATTATGACTATCATAAAGTTTTCTTACCCGGAATTCTTTTTCAACAGTTTCTTCTTCAACAAGCATGGGCCGATGTTTCATGTGTCTTATTTCATCCAGTGTTAGCAATGAGTTGCGAGCTAGCATACCTTCATATATCACTTGATGTAGAAATGAATACTGGGCCTGCAATCATTATAACATTTGAGAGAGAGAGAGAGAGAGAGAGAGAGAGAGAGAGATGGGTAACTATTATTAGCAGAAGATAAAATCCGTGTAGAATCAGCAGCAAGTCTACAAAGTTAGACAGGTCCCCACTCCTTGTCCCGTTCAAGCCTGAGCTCACAACCATGACTTGCATAGTTACGGGACCTTATGATCAAGGGCCGGGTTCATTTAGAAGCGAACAACAAAATTGGTAAGGGCGCTAGCTAGCCATTTATGGAAAACCAAACATCTCTTTATTCGGTGCTCTTAATTCTTGCTTCTTAATACATAGACCTTATTTCTTCATTTGTTGTCGTATTTTGACATTTTTATGCTAGAATTAACATTTGTATATTAAAATCAATTATTATGTTTTGCAAATCAGACATTGCATACTAAAATTAACATTTGTATCTTAAAATCAATATTTGTTTTACAAATCTGACATTTGTCATACAAATCAGACATTTGTCATACAAATCAGACATTTGTCATACAAATCAGACATTTGTCATACAAATCAGACATTTGTCATACAAATCAGACATTTGTCATATCAGATTTGCAAATTATAAATTGTTTAATTTAATTGTTTTTTTAATACCACGATACAATTTGTTCCAGAAAATCAAAAAATAATATCAGAAACATACAACGAAAAACATATCTCAAACAACAATTTTATTGATTTTCTAAAAAAAGAAATATAATCTTTATATTAAAATACAGTTAAATTAAACAAATATACAATTTACATAATCCACCTGTAAGAACACTGAAAAAAGAGCTGTTTGGTCTTCCATAGTCATTCGATGAATTATATTAATAGTCATGAGGAAATTATTTCTTACTCTGGATTGAACCATGGAATGACGATCTGCTCTCATTACAGAGACGTATTTAAATACATCGATGACGTCATTCTCAGCACTATCTTCCATCAAAGCATCAAAACCTAGGAATGTACCAGTTCGGCCAACACCAGCACTAACAAATACAAAATTCATACAAATATTACATGTATGTGCATCTTAATGCCCAAAGGAACACGAATTTCTTAGTTAAAATGGCATTTGCATATATTTTAGGCCACATAATGTAGTAATAATCAAATAGTTAATAAACCATGCATGCAAAGTTAAATCCACGCAATACATACCATACCACATCTATATGGCTAGAGACATGACCAAATTTTGTTGGATTTTTGAATGCCATCATGACATAACTTTTATCACCAGCTGTACATTACTCTCAGCCAAACAGTTAATCCCTTCTGTGTAACTGATTGGGAATTCTACGAAAACGTGAGTTTGGGTGCTGAATATCACTCAACTGTGAGTGCCATTATAATATCTTCAGAACATGCTATCTACTGCCACTCAAGTTAGCTAACTTTAAACGTAAGGCCTAGAAAGCAACGACTTCTTTGCGAAACGATTGCTAACTTCCCATTGGGTACGTCACACTACTTACCTACAGTGTACCACAATAGGACCGGCTAGTGTTGATGGTGTACGTTTAATAAGC